ACTAGAGGTTTTATTTATTTGAATAAGTAATTTTTTATTACATTCGACTTCGATCAGGTCAAGGTTGACCTTGTTGGATTCTACGTGATGTTTACTTTTGAGCTCGAGTTGTGAAATCCGAGATCCTATTGAGCGTTTGTGGGGATTTTCTTGGCATAAAAGTTTCAGCTTACAAGCGTTACGTGACTTTGAAAATATTATCTGCAAAATTCGTAAACACAAATTCTGGAAGATTATTCGGAGAAATTGTTAAACGGAAAGATCTGCAAAATAATTATTAGATCGAAAGGGAAATTTTTCTTTATTTTTTTTTTTTGTTTTCCTTTCAATATCCTACTGTTTTATTAATAATTCTTTTAATAATGATAAATTTTTAATCATTCTCTTACAAAATTTAAATCTTTTCAAACTTTTTGACAATAATATATATTTTTAATAATCGATTATATTAATTATCATATTAAAATATTTTCGTATTATCCTAAAACGCGCACGATGAAATTGAACATCTTTCATAGTTTTAAATTCCAATATTTTCTTACGAGAAAAAAAAATCTTACCTCTTATTTATTTTATTTTCGATTATTATTGTTCCGAGAAATCATGTTTTGGCATTTTGTTTAAGAAAGAACAAAGGAGGAACAAAGGAGAGGCGATTCGTATTCGAATTCGTTTTCGGTTTCGTTTTATCGAAACTTCCTGCCTGCTGCCATTACAGATAAAAGTATCCGCTGGTAAATTGTTGTTTCGATTGGCCCGTAACCACCTTCCGTTCCATTATTTTCCATGTCCTCTCCACTCTGTCCTTCCACGCCTCTCTTTATCTCGAATTTTTCTATTCTATGTCGACCACGATCGCCCTTCCTTCCCCCTCCCTACATAAGATACAATGGCCTTCTCACCAGAGATCGTAGCAAAAGTCGTTGTAACTTCTCCTTTATCTATGAAATTTTGTTTCGTAACAAATATGTGAACATCCTATTGTTTCTTCGCCTCTCGTGACACTTTTAGGCGAAATGTACAAAAAAAAAAAAAAAAAAAAA